TTTTTTTTTTTTTTGGTGATTTTTATTATCGAGAAATCACAAATATAAAAAGAAAATATATATTCCAGAAAAAAATACTCGATGATACGATAACTCCAGTCGCTCGTCATGTGTACAATACGCATACAATTTTATGGAAAGGGTTAAAATCGCGATGCATAATGTTTCTTCCCCAAGCCCACTCTGTAAATTTTAACATAGATCCTCGATTTCTTATGCAAATGTCGAAGGAATATCCTTTTTTCCCGACGACGAATTCTAAATCCAGAGTTGTTATTTATCGTATCGTATCAGAGAATCGATTTCATTTAAGGGGAAAAAAATCTTGGAGCGGAGAAGAACCCTTAAACTCGGACGAATTTCAAGATCGCGACGTTAAACGTGTGCAAACACGCGGACGAAATCGGCCACGATCCCCGTTCAAACACGAGGACCCGCTGTAAAGCAAGAGGTGTAAAAAGTCGTGGAAAAGTTGAGAGCCACTGTATATCAAACAGAATCCTTATCTATCTATCTATCTATCTCCTCTCCGAATATTTGTTTCTCAAACACTTTTTAACCGATAGTACTTTCCCGTGGAGAAAGTCTATCTGTCCTGGATCCTGGAAAATCGAATCGATTATTTACCAGGATGGACAAAACAAGAATACGAATTCTTTGACTTTCCACGAAGAGTGGAGAAGCGATTGTTGGGTGTGTGTGTGTGTCGAACGATAACGCGGAGGATTCCCAATAAGGAAGGCTTATTTCCTTGGAAGAGGGAGAGAAAGTTGACTGACGTTTCTGACGAGGGTAGTGGCACGCTGTAATCGGTGCGATAATTTTCCAAAACTTGGCCTTCGATATCTTATCCGTCAGAGAGGACCGTTGTAAAGTATTCCAAGAACAGTTCCAAAGTTTTCGTTTTGTTTATTGAAATTCTTTCGAAACGATTGATTCATCTTCTGCCGGAAATCGAAAAATTCCTAAGATGGTGAGAGAAATATTTGAATATTCTAAAAAGTACTTTCTTTTTTCTCTTCTTCCTCATTTATCGAAATAAAAATGTCGCATTTAAAGATTTATCTTGGATATGCTCGAAAAGCATTCGTTAAAAAAATTAAAATCTCCATTATTTGTGAAAAGAGAGAAATTTCCAAATTCTTTCCAAATTAAAAATTCACTATTATTTAGCATCATTCTCATTACATGGCAAAGAAAAGAAACATTGTCTCCTTTTCCGATTTATCATCACCGACCGCCATTATTATCCCCAATAACCGTCCATCGAACGAAAAGCTGATAAAACCACCCTTTGAGGGGCCGAGGCAAGCCTCTCGAGATGCTTAGAATTTACCAGAAACGATAAAATGCCTTGTCTCGATGTTTTAAACAGCAGTTGAATGGACCGAAGAGAGGTCTATAGAAGCACAGCACAGTGGAAGAAGGAGACGCTGTTGGAGACGCCTGGAGTCCACAGCGGGGGTATCGGTTGTATGGGGGAGGGGAGGAAACAAAACGAAGTCGAAATCCAAGCTTCTTGACGTTTCTCGAGTACGCTGATGGAAAAGCCACCGATACAAGAAGGAATTTTCCTCCTTCTTTTCCAGCCTTTTTTACCTTACCAAGGGAAGAAATTGGAAAAAATTTTCCATGGCTCGAGGAAACGAGTCTGCACCTTTAAACGTTCCCTTGTTAATCTTGAAAGCCTGTGCGGCGCTTTCGAAAGCGTGGGACGGTTTCGGCCGGTGATTTACGACCCCTCTCGACTCATTGACCCACGGTTATGACACTGGCTGACGCTTATAACCTTCCAACAGAATACCAGAGTGGAGTGAACCACCAGTGCCACTCCACCCAAGATCGATCCTTGCCACGCTCTTCCTTTTATTCCCCCATTGGCTTCTTCTTCTTCTTCTTCTTGCCAATCTTTCATCCCGAAACATCTTTTGTCGCTGCTTCGGTCGATCGGCGTGTCGTTCGGCTGTTTGCAAAATTTCCATCCCCTCGTCCATCTTCCGCTAACGGTCCTCTGCGATCGAGAAGGAAGAACGCGTATAAAAATATCCAGATACCTTTCACAAGATTAAACGAAAAAGTTTGAAATAACCTGCGTTCCATTCTGTATCCATAAAAAATTTTTAATCGTTAAATTCTATAATATAATATAATAATTCAAGATATAATAATATATAATAATAATAATTTTATAATGATAAATTTTATAATAATAATAAGAATTTAAATTAATTTTTCAGCTTTATATATAAATATGATTCGAATTGATCTTCATGGTCACGTTTTCGCGCCCCCTCCCTTCCTTTCGTAATTTTTAAACAGAGGTAACGAGTTAAAGGAATCGTGGCCCCTTCGCGTGATTCGCTCGTAGCACACCCTAACCACCCATACCTGGTGAACACACGGAATCGGAGCGTGGGAAGGCGGAGGAGGAGGCGGCCGGTAAAAGCGGACCCCATGCGGCTAATTGCAGGTGTTGCCGGGCCCGAAATCCGACGATTATGGCGTTTAGGCGGATATCCGACGATTGCGCCGATCCTAAGCCTTTCCCCCTCTTTCGCTTTCTTTCTTCCTTTTTATCGGTGATTATCGACCTAAACGCGTGGAACCGTATCATAAAAAGGGACGCGTTGCCTGTGGTTAGGCGTGGCCAGAATCCCCTTTAATCACCGACCACGTGGGTATGATGATTTACTTTCACGCAATGGAAACAAATTTCTCTTTCCGTTCGTCCGATTAGAAGAATATTTACGATCGTTTCTTCCTTTTTTTCTTTTAGAAGAATAGTTAATCACATCCATTGGACTCAATTTGCAATTATTTAGGTGTGCGAATGACTTTTTTTCTACGATAACTTCCCAACTGAACTCGAATTATTTCCCTGTTTTGAAAGAGGAGTCTTCTTTTGTTTTTAACCCTTTCACGAATTATTCAATCCTCGGAAAAAAACAGCTTTGTTAAATAGTTGTTTGAATTAAATTATGATTTTTCAGTTGTGTAAAATAACTTCGAGGAGATCCTCAAATAAGGAGAGTGAAGTGTCTAACGCGTCTCCTATTCGACAGAAACGATCGAGTAATCTTGTATCTGATTCGTGTAATAATAAAATCTTGAATTTGGAAAAAAAAGAATTGGAAGAAAATTGGAAAGAAATTTTCCAAACCGTTATTGTAAAAATTTGCAATAACCAAATTTACGATCACAGATGTCGCGACCGAGTTCCGACAAGGAAAAAGAAAGAAGCTAATCGCGCGAATCCACGACGTTCTAAATCGATCTTATTCACCAAGCGCACGTTGAAAAAAACGTGAGAGGAGAGGGCAAACATTTAGAGGCAATCGTTCGTTTATATAATCGGTATTCATTATACAACGCCGTTTTCAATTACCGAGCAACGTCCCAGGATCGAGAAACACCGCCATCGATCTCGCTCACGGAAACGATCTTGTGGTGTTTCCAAGGTGTTTCGCAGTGTTTTCTTTTTCTTTTTCTTTTTTTTTTTTTTCTCTTATGCACCTTCGATACTTGAAATTCAAACCGAAACCACGATGAATCATGTACTTATCGATTCAACGCGGGACCCGCTTCTTCCACTTTTCCCTCCGCCTCCTCTCGTGTGTATCGAGCCCGAATGGTGAAAAAGAAAAGGGCGTCGCGTCTGGCATCGCAAAACCGTTTCCATATCAGGGATAAAAAGGATGGACGCTCGTTTCGATTCATTCTCCCTCTTAATTATACGCATCTTGGATAATTAGAAAGCTGGTTAAAAATAAGAATCTATATCGAAATCGTATATTCGAAGGCTTGGTGAATATAATTATCGTTCGATAAATAAGTTTCAATTACTGATTGTATTAGTTATTATTTAACCAATACAACAATGTAATGTGTCTAATGTATTCAACGTTATTAAAAAAAAAAAAAAACGATTACCACTGCGAAAATAAAACGATGAAAACTTCGATCCAAAATTTTATTTACACGACTGTGGTCGAGTCATCAAACTTGAGATTTCGAAAATTAAAAGGATCGTCATTCGACTCTTTTCTAACGCGCGGATATATTATTTATTATTAAGAGGATATTGGACACGAAGACGCAACGTTGGTCTGAGCAAAGGGACAGCGAAGAGGGTATATAAAAGTGAGATTATGGAAAAAGTAGGGCACCGTCTCCCACGAGAAATTTCCTCGATCTGCACAACGTAACAAATTGTCTCTATCGTTGCTCCCTCTATTTTCGCAGAGATACCGAAGAATGAGTACAACAACAAGAATCAGTCCACGGGGAATAGTCCGATAAAGGTCGAGCTGCAGAACAACATGGACAGGTAAGCCTATTTCATTTCCCGCCTATCTCAAAGAAAAGAGGGAATTAAAAAAAAAAAAGGAAAGGGAAAAGAGCAGAGAGCACACTCCTGTGAATCATCTATTCGGGCGCACAATGAGTCAATGTTCGAAGTGTCATCAAAGGAACGGTTGGTTTTCGTGAAAAATCGTGCTCACTCGAAAATTTGTAGCTAAGCGTGTAATATAATATCGTAAACTCGACCCTCGCCACCTGGGATTCTCGTTGCGTTGCAGTTTCGATTCTCGTCGAACAATGGAACGTATTTAAAAAAACCGAATTTTCTTAAACCTCTCTGAATTATTATTGACACGGGAGAATACGCGTTTCTTCGATCGGCTAATAAAGAAATTTACAAAAAAAAGGGAAGAAAAATACAAACTTCCGCTCTTCTTCTTCCGAACCGATTTTAATTCGTACCCCAAATATTTAGAATCGTGGCCCCGAATCGGTCGGTTAAAGGAGGGGAGAGAAAAAGCAGAGGGAGAGGAAGGATTGGCGCGATTTTCCACAGGGCAAGGGTGGAGGAGGGGAGGAAAGATCTCCGCGGCGACGACGACGACGACGACGACGACGACGTCTGGCTTTCGTTTTCCATTATCGCGTGATGCAACGAAAGCAAACAGGCAGCCTCTCGCTGCTCGGCCCGTCCCGTTTAAATATTTTTGTTAGACGTTTCCGAGTTACTTGGAAGCGGCCGTTTCCACGTTCCACGTTCGCAGCATAAACATACTCGAGGGGCCGGGTGATGCTTTTGCGCGGAGAGCACGTGACGAGTACAAATATATTTGCCGCGTATCAAACGACGCGAACCGACGTTCCGCTCCCTTTGAAATCAACGTTCGCAGAGAGAAAGAGAGAGACAGAGACAGAGACAGAGAAACAGAGAAACAGAGAGACAGAGACAGACAGAGACAGAGAGAGAGACAGAGAAACAGAGAGACAGACAGAGACAGAGACAGAGAGAGAGAGAGAGAGAGAGAGAGAGAGAGAGAGAGAGAGAGAGCGAAGCTCGCGGATACCACTTTACCGGATACTCCTCCTCCTCTCGCTTTAATCGTTGAAACAGAGGGAAATTCGGGTAATTTTGTATAATCGAGTTGGTAACGTGACTGGAAAGGGAAGAGACGCGAGAAAGAGATCGGACGTGCATTTCAACGAGTTAAATTTTCCCGATTCACTGTTATGGAACGGGGTCGATGATCAAAGTGTGCCCGTTCTTCTCCTTATTCCGAGGTTTTCCGTCCATTTCTCGAGGCTTGTTTGTTTTTATTTAATTAGATCCCATGCGTCGTCGATAATCTTATCGAAATATCGCATTAAGAGAAACGATCCATCGTGTGTTCATTCAGCTTCAAATATAATGTATATATATATATATTTAAATACAGTTCTGTATGGAGATTCGTTGTTCCCTCGACGACGAAGCGAAAGTAAGATTGATTAATCGATCGACATTACAACAGGAAGTGAAATAATAGATCGATTGATTTTTGCAGGGTACCTCTGCCGTACGGCCACGCGTCTTCGATGATCCCAATGAGGAGGCAAAGCATTCGTTGCCATTTCGTGAAAGGGGTCGACTGGTGCAGCTGGAAATTGATCGCTATGATACTGCTTATGGTCTCGCTGTGCATAACGGCGGCCCTAGCCTACGTCGTGGGTAAGTCGTGGTGGCCTCCTCTAATCTTGTATTCGACGCGCGTTTATCTAGGATAGGAAACAAAATGTTCCCATTGCATCCCGGTAATATAATTCGTATTCACTTTGTATGGGTGATAATTTTAAATAATTTTAATCGATGATTCATTCAAATTCATTCGATGAATTTTTTTTTTTTTTTTTTTTTTTAAAGTGACAAAGATTGATGTATTTGTTTGGAAACGTTTGTACTATTATTTATGAATTGCGAAAAGAAATGTTAAGTTATTTAAAAAAAAAAAAAAAAGGCTTTCAACGCGTTTCAATTATATTATAACGCGGAATTATTGATAGAATTTCGAAAAATTGATACACCCCTCGCAAGCGGGGACAATATCGGTTTTTAAATTATAAAATATTACGCGCGAAATATTATTATTTCTGTCGGATTATGTCATATACTTGCATCGCTTTTTCAAAAAAAAAAAAAATAATAATAACACATTGCGTACGGGTCACGAGATATCTCGTTTTAATATTTTTTTTTCGACTCGAGGAATTGAAAACACTCGAAGCAATAATAAGAGAAGAAATAAAAAAACTGTAAAATCTATTCGTCCAATGGAAAAAGAAGCATTATTCGAGTTTGTAAAGTAAATAACAATTGATCGATTTAATTTTATTTATATAATAAATAATAGTTAAAGATTAAAAACATAATAAATAGAAATGTATAAGGAATACTTTATAATTGTGAATTAAAAAGTGCATGTATATTTTTTCTAAAAATATTCTATAATTATTCTATAAATGCATCACAAATATAGAAAAAAAAAAATATTCAAAAATTTAATTAAACTATAAAACCCCCTGCTTTCTCTCGTTTCAGTCTCGAGCATTCCGATTCAGGGCACGAAAAGTACGTGCACGGTACTGGTTAAAGATTAAAAGCCTACGTAATAAATGTATAAGAAATATTTTATAATTGTGAATTAAAAAGTGCATATATATTTTTTTTAGAGCGCTCAAAAATACGCAACACGTGATAATAAACCTCGATCTAAAAATATTCTATAATTATTCTATAAATGCATCACAAATATAGAAAAAAAAAATATTCAAAAATTTAATTAAATTATAAAACCCCCTGCTTTCTCTCGTTTCTATAATTATATATATAATTCTATAATTATATATTCTATAATTATTCTATAAACGCATATAGAAAAGCTTCACGAATATAGAAAAAAAAAATATTCAAAAATTTGATTAAACTATAAATAAAACCCTCCTGCTTTCTCTCGTTTCAGTCTCGAGCATAGTGAACCGATTCAGGGCACGAAAAGTACGTGCACGGTACTGGTTAAAGATTAAAAGCCTACGTAATAAATGTATAAGAAATATATTTTATAATTGTGAATTAAAAAGTGCATGTATATTTTTTCTAAAAATATTCTATAATTATTCTATAAACGCATATAAAGAAAAGCTTCACGAATATAGAAAAAAAAAATATTCAAAAATTTGACTAAACTATAAAAACCCCCTGTTTCCTTTCAGTCTCGAGCATAGTGAACCGATCCTACCAGGGCACGAAAGCGTGCGCGGTACTGGTTAGCGAGAGCACGGACACGAAAGCGTTGTCCTCGGACGGGAACAAGACCTCTTCGTCGGCGAGCGCCTCGTCCTCGCAGTCGAGCGGTCGAACACGGCAACAGGCATCCTCTGGAGGTAGTATGAAAGCATCGGCTAGCATGTTAGAGCACGCCTACCGTAAGCGTAGGGACACGTATAACAAGCATGCGTTGCACCAAACTGTCCCGTCCCGTGAACAAGCCGACGAGCCTCCCTCGACGGGGGTGGCGGGTGGCGAAGGGGCAGCCACGTCGCCACGATCGCCCGAGGCGGAGCGATCGGCGCCATTCACGGACGACCGTCCACGTGGTGTGGTTGTTGTGCATGATAAGGAGCATGCGGGACCGAACTCCTCCCCGACGTCCTCGTCTCTCTCGTCGCCGTCTTCGTCTTCGTCTATGTCTTCGTCTACGTCCTCGACACCCGCGGGGACGCATTTGTTGCTTGACGTCTCTCGCTCTTCCACGGCTAATAACCACTATTCGCACGATCCTTCGTCTGCTACCCCCTCCACTCTTCGCCCTTCCTCCCCTATTAACCCCACCACCGACCCTTCTTCCTATTCTCCTTCTTCTTCTTCTTCTTCTTCTTCTTCTTCTTCTTTTTCTTCTTCTTCTTCCGTTTCGTTTACGGACGAGAGCCAACCACCACCGTCCAAGAACCACCTAGCCAACGATCTCACCCCCCGTTCCTCCATTATCGACGAACAGATCGCCGATTCGAGCTACGTTCCACGAACCACTACCGAAAGTGGTACGGGCATCCCTGGGGCTTACGCTGGAGTTGCGTTCCCGGAAGTGGGTTCGAACGGGTTTCGGGGCGAGGAGGTGGAATCGATCACGATCGCGAAACAGGAGGATGATGGCACGGTTAGCGGCGTAGAGGTGGAAGTAGAATCGAGGGTGGAAGGGGGGGGAGGCACGACAGCGAGCATCGCCTACGATCATCAACGTAACGTGAGTAGCAAGGATGCGAAGGATGCTGTAGCGCTAGTAGTAGTTGGCGAGCACGAAGTAGACGCAGCACCGCCTGGACGAGCTTGGACGAAATCTTTGGAGGAGGTAAAGAAGAAGAGGAAGGAGGAGGAGGAGGAGGAGGAGGGAGGGAGGGAGGGCGTGGAAAGTGGGCCGCGGGATACCGCGAGGAATTCCTCGAGTGATTTTTCGGGAGTCGTGAAGGAAACGCGAGAACTGTCCCGGGAGGATTCCTCGTCGTCCGAGGAGGACGTCGGTTGGCCGAGTCGCGCGAAAAGTTACGAGAAATCCGAGGAGCTCCTCCAGCGGGACTATCCTTCGCCGATTTACAATTACAACGGGCAGGACGAGGTCGAGTTCGTGAAGTTGAACCACGGGAACGAGACAACGACAGGCAAGAGCAACGACAACGACAATGACGACGACGAGGACGATGTCGTCGACGAGGACGATGGCGACGACAACGACGACGATCGGGGCCCGATATCGTTCGGGGACGACGAGGTGAAGACGAACGACGTGCCTCCTTCGATCGGTGATCTCCGCGTGATCACCAGGGAGGAGAGCGACGAGGAGTTTTTGCGCGAATTCGAGAGGAAATTCCACGAGGAGGCCGATTCCCCCGCGGCGAGGGGGCGCGAGGGGGGAGAGGGAGCTTCCATCGAATCCAATTCCGCGGAATCTCGGAATCCCCCGACCCAGCAAGTGAAAATAATCGAGGTGCCGGTCGACCGATCGCGGCGGCCCTCAACCTCGTCCTCGACCCCATCCTCGCCTAACCGGGTGCTCGTCAACATCACGATCGCTTCCGGGGACTCCGCTTCAGCGGCCTCGAGGCCGCTCTACGTCCTCTCCGTCTCGGTGCCGACGGGCGGCGACGGCGTGGCGGACGGCGAGGAGCGCGACGGAGGGACGAGGGGGAGGGAAGAGGAGCGCGAGGGGGCGAGCGAGCGGGTCCATCGAGCCGGGCCAGCCCGAAGGCAGGAAGCGTCGAGCCAGATGGCCGAGATCGCGAGTCCCGTGGAGGGAAACGACAATCGATTGCCCCCACCACCGCAGCCACCTTCGTCGCCACCCCCTCCTATGTGGGCCGGTGGCGAGTGCGAGTGCTCTTGCCCGTGCATGGGATCGTCGTCCGACGAGTGGGACAACGATTTCTCGCCCGTTGACGAGACTATGAGCCTCGAAGGGCCTCGGGAAGGGCAGAGCCGTAACACGAGCGAGTCTGTGGACGAGCCGGACGTTGTCCGAACGGTGGCCGCCGACACGAGGCAGGTGGAAACGAGGGAGGAGGGGAACTCGGTGAGCTCAGTGAGTTTGGAGGAGACGGTAAAGGGTGAGACGAGTAGCCAGCACGATTATTTCTCGGGCACCGAGGAGAATAGCAGTACCATTGACTGGACAACCTCGAATTACGGGTCAGAGTCGAGCGGCGTAGGCGTGTCGGGGTGTTCTGGGGCAACACCCTTACCCCCAGAACCCACTATACTGATCCTGGAAGGTGAGGCCCCGTTTACGATTGTTTTTTCAAACCTTTGCCTCTTTTTTTTTTTTTTAACAGATTCTCACACGTCTCGCTAGTTTTTTCTCACTCACTAGATATTGTTATTATTATTATTATTGATCCTTCGGCTGTAATCTTTCTCTCTATCGCTGCTTTCTTCTCTCTATTTTTCAACACCTTTTTTTTTTTTTTTTGCTATTCTCATTGTTACGCTGATGCGAGCTTCTCTCTTTCTCTCTCTCTCTCTCTGTCTCTCTTCGCTTGAATAAAACAACACACGTAGCTATTCGCGAGGTATTTCTTACTTATCGCGCTCGAACTTGCCTGGCGTGTTTAAACGTTGATAACGGTTGTAGTGGTTATACGGTAGAAAAGTTTTGTGCAATATTGTAATATGGTGCATCGTGGTGTTGTGTACGCAATGGTATAATATGAACCGAGGTATTTTTCTAATCGATTCTCTCGCACGAAATTGTTGCGAAAATGAGGAAGAGAAAAAAGAAAAAGGAAAACAATGCTGACAATAGTGTTACGTCGTAGAAGGAGCGATGATGAAAATTCATCGAAAAATCTCGTGCAAGGACCAATTTTGTTTTAGATACTTTTTCATTTATTTATTTATTTATTTATTAGACTCCGAGTAAAAAACTGATTGGTTCTTACGATGAACGAGGATGTGAAATTAATTAAAATTCGCGAGAATTGCGATTATATAGTTTATTAGTCGATAGCGGAATAATAATAGGACTATAAAATTCGAGATTCGCTGATGCGCAAGCCTAGCTAAGTATAAAAAGCCATGCAAATTTTTTACAATACCTATTGCGCTTTATATATAAGCAATAAATAACAATCAGTTTTCTGATGGATGATATCATCTTTGAACAGATAATTAAGATACCTTCTTTCTTCCTTTCTTCCAAAAAAGAGTATCCCCCTCTTAGAAATTTTGCCAATATTCCGGCTAATTACTCGAAGAAAGAGGACAGAAGCTGGAAAGAAAAATTTTTCTTTTTAATATTCTTTAATATTCTTTTTTTATATCGTGTTATTAATTCAATTTTTTGCAATACTTTCGAAATATGATTCCATCGAAACGATCCGACGGAGAACTGATTTCTCGTGAAAGTGAAACACGCTCACGTTTCCCCGTCTAACGTTATCCAGGTGCGAGAACATTCCCAGCCAGATCTTTTCCACCTGACGGCACCACATTCGCCCAAGTGGGGCTGGGGCAGAAGCTGAGCAAAGAGATACCACCTTACAGCTACTGGAACATGCAATTCTATCAGTCGGAAGCCGCGTACGTGCGGTTCGACTATAATATTCCTCGTGGAGCGAGCATCGGTGTCTACGCGAGAAGAAACGCGCTTCCTACTCACACGCAGTACGATCTCCTTGAAGTATTGAGTGGTTTCAAGGCCAGGACCGCAAGGGCGTCCCATGTTAGTGTTATTGTATGTGCCACTGCCCCATTTTTATTTTTCTTTTTCTCTCTCTGTCTAACAGATTCCTAGAACAACAACATTAGATCTTATACCATATAAATTATCTCTATCTGTGTTTTTTAAAACGATTTATTTTTTTATTATTTATTTTCTATTATTCTTTTCATCGCAAAGGAGTCTTTTTTTTTTTCATTGGTCGAGAAGTTCTTGCGAATTTTCTTTTTTTTTTTTTCTTTTTTTTTTTTCTATTTTTTTTCCCTTCGTCAACACGTAGAGTAGTAGAAGAGATTGGTAGAAGTAGGTTAAGATTGTTGAGATTCGTCGATTTCTCGTCCAGCCGTCGATCAAGAAGGAAGTGACGCACTACATGGAACCTGGCCACTGGTTCCTCTCGTTGTACAACGACGACGGGGATCCTCAGGAGGTGTCGTTCATAGCTATAATCGCGGAAGACATGACGCATAATTGTCCGAACGGTTGTAGCGGAAAGGGGGAATGTTTGCTGGGTCATTGCCAATGTAACCCTGGTTTCGGTGGCGAAGATTGCAGCGAGAGTGTCTGCCCGGTCCTCTGCAGCCAACGTGGTGAGTAATAAATATAATATAATATCTTCTGGAAAAAGAATGGAAAAAAATATAATCGTTATTTCTGTCGAACGAAAATCGACACCTGAACTTTTCATTTATTCAACTGATCCTTTTTATTTTTCTAGAAATCGGGTTATCTATTGTAATCCTCTACTATGATTATATATCCCTCAACCGATATAGCTCGGATCAAAATACAAATTTTTCCACAATTTTATAATAATAGTTACAATCTTTTTTAACGACCCCCATCAATACCTAATCTATTATTAATTTAAAAATTTGGAATTTTAAAAATTTCCAGAAAACTCGATCAGTTCAACTTCTTACGTATATTTTCTTAAAGAGAGACAATTTTATTAATCGCCCCAACATTATTTCATCTTGTTCGACAATAGGCGAGTACATAAACGGGGAATGCCAATGCAATCCTGGCTGGAAGGGCAAGGAATGTTCCCTCCGACACGACGAATGCGAAGTGCCTGATTGTAACGGACACGGGCATTGCACGAATGGAAAGTGCAATTGCGTACGTGGCTACAAAGGGAAGTATTGCGAGGAAGTGGACTGCCCCCATCCGACTTGCTCCGGCCATGGTTTCTGCGCGGAGGGCACCTGCATTTGTAAGAAAGGGTGGAAAGGAGCGGATTGCAGCCAAATGGACAAGGAAGCGTTGCAGTGCCTGCCCGACTGTAGCGGACACGGGAACTTTGATCTTGAAACTCAGACGTGCCTCTGCGAACCCATGTGGTCTGGCGATGACTGCTCGAAAGGTAAAGAATGTTATATCAAAATCGCGTGTTAAATTGTTTCAAAAAAAGAAAAAATTAGAGAGGCCGGATAAATTCCGTTTGAAGTTATGACACGATAAGATACTTTTTAGATCTCATACTTTTGTGATTCTTAATTAGCTATAAAGTTGATCTTACAATGAGACAATTGCTGAGATCATACTTGGATACTTCATGATTTCAGGATTGTGAAATGTTGAGTCAAATCATGTTTGAAGAATTTTTTATTTTAATATTCACGAGTCTGATCATTCATTAGAATTGTGAGAATTGTATTATTCTCATAAAAAGGAACAATAAAAATTATTAATATCTAATCTATATCTAATATTCATAGATATTCATCAATAGATAATTCTCTTTTAAAAATAATTTTAACTTTTAGCTATTTCTAAATCGTGTCACAACTTTATATATATTTTACATAAAACAAAAATTCAAATTTCTTATTCCATCTGGATTAATCGATTCTTATGTTTCCAGGTCATCACATCTATAAAATTATCTATTTCATATATATATATATATATATCAATAATCGAATCGTTCTTCTTCTTTTCTTCGTTTGCTAATAGTCGTCGATTCGATCCCAATGTTGATCCTAATTTCAATCCGTTTTTAAAGAAAGAAAAAACCAACAAGTTTGTCCCCTGGCTTCTTGTGTTGCTTGCGTACACTAACGTTTCTCAAATAATACATTGACAGGAAGTTGAAATATAAATCCGTAATTTCCCTTGCCGATTTCCAGAGTTATGCGATTTGGATTGCGGTCCCCACGGGCATTGCGTGGACAACGCTTGCGACTGTTTGCCCGGATGGTCGGGCGAGCTGTGCAATTTGAAGCAATGCGATCCACGATGCAACGAGCACGGCCAATGTAAGAACGGTACTTGCTTGTGCGTGACCGGTTGGAACGGAAAACACTGCACCATGGAAGGTTGCCCAAATTCCTGTTCCGGGCACGGACAATGCAGAGTCAGCAACGATGGCCAGTGGGAGTGCAGGTGTTACGATGGTTGGGATGGCAAAGATTGCAACGTGCTCCTCGAACAGAACTGCAACGACGGAAGAGACAACGACAAAGGTATAAAACAAAGTGGAGGGGAATTTGTAATTTTGCGATTGTCAGCTTGGATTGTTAAAGAAAAATAATTTTAACAAATTAGTGGATGTTTTTAGCAAATTTTTTCGCAATTATGCTTATTGTTCAATTATTAAATTACCATAACAAAATTGCAAAATTTTTATCACACCTTTTTTCACGAATCAAAAAGTAGAATAATTTCGTTCGAAGTATGACGAAATTGTATGATTTGCGGGACGAATTCCGTCTTCGTTCCTTCGCGTTTCATTTTCGTATTACCCTTTAAACGATGGGTGTGTGGTATTATTTACGTCAGCCATATGGATCATCAAGCTCGGTTATAAATCTGTAACAAAGAAACGAATGCAAGATTTTTTTATTCAAACATGATTAATCCATCGAACGCGATTCGATATAAATATACGTGTCACGAATACGAACGAGCTTTTCTAATTGCATCATAATGTACTTTCCAGACGGTCTCATCGATTGCGCGGATCCGGAATGTTGCTCGAATCATATATGCCGTAGCAGCCAGCTTTGCGTGTCAGCACCGAAGCCGATCGATATACTTCTGCGAAAGCAGCCGCCGGCCATCACCGCTTCCTTCTTCGAGAGGATGAAATTTTTAATCGACGAGGGTAGCCTGCAGAACTACGCTCGCCAGGAGACCTTCAACGAGAGGTGAGTTAAACGATTGACAGCACGTCTCGTTGTTAGGTTTCTCCATCGCGTCTAGCATTATTAAACGACTCTAATTTAACGACGATTTATAATTACACAATTGCGTTTGTAACATTATTCGTGGAAAACGTAACGCATAATTTCGTCGACTTGAACGTGTCCGTGTCCGTCCATCCGTCCGTCCGTCGTTCTTCATTCGTCGTTCTTTCGTATCCGTCCCGAGTTTCATGTTTCGTGCAATTTTTTTTCTTTTTCACGTGTCAAATCAAACACATGGAAATAACACGATAAAATAATATATATTTTATACGAAGAGCTTGATGAGAAAATAATTCACATTTTTTTTTTTTTTTTTTTTAAATGCAAATCGCGTTTTTTTTTTTTTTTTTTTTTCCTCCAAACTCTTCGTACGTATGTCGATGTACGCAATGTTTAACAAATGGCGGTATACGTCTGAAAAGGAATGCATGTCTTGCGGGACGACTAAAGATTATTAAGGAACGTAAGAGCGAAGTTTATATATAAATCAGATTTGTTTTCGCGAACGATCAATCACACAGCGACAATCCTGGAACACGGCTGGTGATTATTTAAAATATGAAACGAAATCCTGAATCCTTTGTAACCTTTAGCTGCCTCGAGTCAACAAGGCAAGACACGTGCATCTTGCTCTTTATTTTTTTTTTTTTTTTTGTAATATGTATATATATATTACATATTATATATACGTATTTATTCTCGTCCGTGTTTTATACACACGTTTATATTATATCATACAAGAAACACGAAGACGTATACATAGATATGATATATTCTCTGCGTTGTTGTGACCCGTGTGAAATCACATCCCAAAAGTTTTATACATATGTTTGTACGTACGTGTGCGCGAGCGTGTGCCCTGCACTGAAATTCCCGAACCCCCTCTCAATCTTTCTCTCTTCACTATATCATCTCACTCATCATTCTATTATCTCTTCTCTTCGTCTTTTCTCTCGTTATTCTCTCGATCATCATCGAACCGATCGATCGTACACGTATGATCGACGATCTCTCTCTTTTTCTCTCCATTTATATACTCTCTTTCTCTCTCTCTTCCTCTCACACGTGTCCGTCCGAGTGGAGCTTGCGTGAATGTGTTGACTCCATGTTCAAGCCTCGAGCTTTACGCCTTCGATCAAAGAGGGGATAATTATCAATTCCTAAGAATTTCTATCTAAATTTCTTTCGAAGATTTTTTACAATCCTTCTTTTACTATCTTCCACGATCTTTCGAAATCTATCTCACACGTCCTATTTTCATCCTTCTAATAATATAATCCCGAATTAATCGAATTGTTTATATAGATCTGATCTGTCTCCTTCTCTAACTTACTTTCTTCTCTTCTATCTCTCTTCCATCTAATTTTTGCCTTTAATCACACCATTTTTAACTCGGCTCTGTTTTATCCGTGCTGCCCGTTCAGTATGTTCTGGAATCACTTCAACACAAGGTAAGAAAGCCATTTCGTCGATCAAGAGAAAAAAGAGTAAAAAAAAAAAAAAAGTAAAAAAAAAAAGTAAAAGAAAGAGGAAAAAAGAAAAGAGCGAAAAAAAGAAAGTAAAAAGGAAAAAAAAAAGAAAGAAAGAAAGAAAGAAAGAAACCGAGTTGCGAGTTTTTGTAGAGTATAAGCGGTTGAATATCTGCTGATATGCTGTTTGACGATAATTTTCGTGCATTTGGTATCGTGTGTAATACATAACTACGTAATATATACTATTCCTGCATCCGAATGAGGTCGCACGCGCGCTTTCAATTCAATTTCGAGTTACGAGTATTTTCACGATTTGCCGACAATTTAATCGACAATACAATCGACAACAACTGTCGACAAACGAAGAAGAATCTCTTTTTCTCGAATGTGTTGCGACGTGGCGTGCGATTGATCACAGAAAATTAAGAAAAAAAAAAAAAAAAAAAGGAAAGAAAAAAAAAAAGAAAGCTCAACAACACCAACCCTCTTGTCTCCTTCTCATCAGTGTTCGAATCTCTTTCTCGTTGCATGGTTTGGTTACCTTATTATTCCTACGTTGTCTTTCGTGCCTTTTAAGTTAAGCTTCTGACTTTGTGTTATTCGTGTTATATGTGTATGTATATATATGTATTTACTGTCAACCCGACCTCGACCGATGCTTCTTCAGTGCCAATGAGGGCAACGATGCATCGTGGTGTCGCTTTTTCTCACAAGTTAATTTCTCTCAAAAAAAAAAATATATATATATATATATATATATATTTTTTTTTATCCGAAAAGATGAAAACAAAGGTGAAAGATAAAAATATTTTTCTACCTTTTTATCCTGGAAAAGAATAAAAATTTATTTCAGTATTGCTGTATACGGGATAGAAATTATTGGAATTTTATACAGCTTTATTTTCCTCGAGACGGTAGTTGCTTGCTAATTTTTAATGTAAATTAAATTTTTCAAATGGTAAAGTAAATTTTAGCATATGAATTTGTCTTGAAATCTAATATACAAAAGAATTTGTTAGAACAAAATTCGAAATTTGATAAATAAAATAAGAACATTAGAATAGAATTTTGAAACAATACTATGATCATTATGTGAGACAAAAGAGGAAAAAAAATAAACAATTAACATAAATACATTAAAAAAAAAAAATAAATACATTAAAAAATACATTAAAAAACAAATTAACAAAAAATAAACATTTCCAGATTATTAACCACCTCTTTAGCACTGAAGAGCAACGTTGACAGAAGACAGAAATCGCGTTGACTGAATTATCCCGCGTATTCGAGTTTGTTTCTAATATATAATTACTACGCACGGAATACCAATTACAAGAACGAAGAAGTACGGTATAAGCACGAATAGAGCGAATAGTTTATCATCAAAAAAACTTATATAAAAATATTTCTTGTTCTAAAGTTGACTGCAATTTCTTGTGTGCATTAAAGAAATAACAGTACATCTTCGTTCCCAGAAATAATTACTTAAGAACACTGCAAGACGAAATACGAACGAAGTATACACAGTAATACCATCGTAGATTGAAATTAGATTAGACAGTAACAGTTGCTTTGTTGTTAGTGTGCCACGGTGCACAGTGGAAAAAAGTAATCACGTTAGTTGACACGACCGACCTGACAGCCATTGGATCGTTAACGTTATTGTTTCCTGACAGCCGATCGGCCGTTGTCCGTGGTCGCGTTGTCACGCATCTTGGCACCGGTCTGATGGGAGTGCGAGTCAGTACCAGCACACCCCTGGAAGGCTTCACCCTGACGAGAGACGACGGCTGGTTCGATCTCCTAGTGAACGGTGGTGGTGCGGTCACTCTCCAGTTCGGCAGGTCGCCCTTTAAGCCGCAGAGCCACATAGTTTTCGTCCCATGGAACGAGGTATAGACGTGTTCCATGATTAATTTAATTATGGGAGATATGCAAACCAAATGGAAAAGAAGAAGGATGATCAAAGTATTTCTCTTCTCTTGTTTAGATATTTTGCTCGCTTCGATGAATAATACTTTGATCGATGACCTAAAACAGAATAATATTTATTTAAATATATAATATTATTAGATATTAATTTTGCCAAAAGAATTTTTGCATTTCTAATAATTGCTAAAAATAAAAATCTGTCAATTGTTTTAAATGTGTAAATCTTTTTCATTTATGAGTAACATGGAAATAAATTTATAAATAAATGTATAATATTGCACCTGTATTCGTGGGACGAAATGATTTATACGCACGCGATTTATATACATTCGAGATAAAGATTATTTCCAAGCTTAGAATTATTTCTTAACTGCTAAAAATAACTATTAATTTACATATAAATGCTTTGATGTCCTTCGTCTACTATATTTGACATAAGTGAATCGACCATGACATTAAACGAAACTCGTAAAACAAGAATTTATATATTCTTGGAAAGAATAATCTTCAACGAAGAATCTAACATAAATATTATCTTTCCTCAAAGGTTGTAATTATCGACAAAATCGTGATGAGCACCGCTGAAGAAAAGCAACCTAACCACGTTCCACACGCTTGCGCGGCTCATGATTACGATCTGATGAAGCCAGTTGTTCTGGCGACGTGGAAGCACGGTTTCCAGGGTGCCTGTCCCGACAAGAGCGCCATTTTGGCCGAGTCCCAAGTCATACAAGAAAGCCTGCAAATACCTGGCACAGGATTGAATCTTGTTTACCACAGCTCCAGAGCGGCCGGCTATCTATCCACGATACAATTGCAATTGACACCGGAAGTCATACCGCCTACTCTAAATCTAATCCATTTGAGAATTACAATCGAGGGTATCCTATTCGAGAAAACGTTCGAGGCGGATCCAGTGATAAAATTCACTTACGCGTGGAATCGATTGAACGTCTATAGGCAACGCGTTTACGGTGTCACCACGGCTATGGTGAAAGTTGGATACGAGTACAACGACTGCAAGGACATCATCTGGGACGTGCAGACGACGAAACTTAGCGGTCACGATATGTCCATTTCCGAAGTTGGGGGATGGAATTTGGATATTCACCATAGATATAATTTCCATGAAGGTATATTGCAAAAAGGAGACGGTTCGAATATCTATCTGAAACAGAAACCCAGGGTTATTCTGACGACAATGGGAGATGGACATCAGAGGCCATTGGACTGTTACGATTGCGACGGGCAAGCTTCCAAACAACGACTTCTTGCGCCCGTTGCTCTCGCTACTGCTCCTGATGGTTCCATTTTTGTCGGTGATTTTAATCTTGTGAGAAAGATCCTCGTCGATGGAACTGTTAGGACTGTTGTCAGGCTCAAGTAAGCATCCTGTTGAACGTTAACATATTTTCATGAAATTTTGCATACTCCAATAATCCAAATATTGTTTTATTTTATCAAATATTTTTCCTTTCAGTGCAACAAGAGTCTCTTACCGCTATCACATAGCTCTCAGTCCATTGGACGGTTCCCTCTACATTTCTGACCCGGAATCCCATCAAATTATCCGAGTCCGCGATACCAACGATTACTCTGACCCTGATCACAACTGGGAAACGGTAGTTGGATCCGGAGAGCGCTGTCTTCCTGGTGATGAAGCCCATTGCGGAGACGGCGCTCTCGCTAGAGATGCCAAACTGGCCTATCCCAAAGGAGTAGCTGTATCCGCCGACAATGTACTGTATTTCGCAGACGGAACTAACATCAGAATGGTCGACAGAGATGGTATCATCACCACCGTGATCGGCAATCACATGCACAAATCGCATTGGAAACCCATCCCTTGCGAGGGTACCCTGAACGTGGAAGAAGTTCATCTTCGTTGGCCTACGGAATTAGCGATCAATCCTCTGGACAACTCGTTGCATATGATCGATGATCACATGGTACTTCAACTGGCTCCAGACGGTCGTGTCAAAGTTGTTGCTGGACGCCCACTACACTGTGCATCGCCATCTTCCTCGTTCGACACGGAGCTCGCGACGCATGCAACTCTGGTCATGCCTCAGAGTATCGCGTTCGGCCCATCTGGAAATCTGTATATCGCGGAAAGTGACTCTCAAAGAATTAATCGCGTGAGAGTGATCGGTACAGATGGCAAGATCTCACCATACGCAGGTGCAGAATCGAAGTGCAATTGCTTGGAACGTGGTTGCGATTGTTTCGAAGCCGATCACTATCTCGCATCTACCTCCAAATTCAACACGATATCCGCAGTAGCTGTATCCCCTGACGGTGTTGTACATATCGGTGACCAAGCGAACTACAGGATTCGATCTGTAATGGCGAGCATTCCAGACGCCAGTGGTGCAAGGGAATATGAAATTTACTCACCGGATACCCAAGAGATTTACGTATTCAACAGATTCGGCCAACACGTGGCTACTAAAAACATTCTCACCGGTGAAGCTGTTTATCAATTCACGTACAATGTCAATACCAGCAATGGAAAACTCAGTACTGTCACAGATGCAGCCGGTAATAAAGTGTTCTTGTTAAGAGATTACAGTAGTCAAGTGAATTCCATCGAGAATACCAAAGGACAGAAGTGCAGGCTTAGGATGTCCAGGATGAAAATGTTGCACGAGCTAAGCACCCCGGATAATTATAACGTCACGTTCGATTACCATGGACCGACTGGTTTGCTGAAAACCAAATTGGATAGTACAGGCAGGAGTTACGTTTATAATTATGATGAATTTGGCAGACTTACTACTGCTGTAACGCCTACAGGAAAGGTGATCAGTTTGACCTTTGATCTGAGTTTGAAAGGTGCAGTGGTGAAGGTAGGACAGAATAATAGAAAACCTATCTCGATGCTGATCAAGGGATCTTCCGTTGTGACGAAAATTGGAGAAGCTGAACAGAGAACAACTGTGCTTCCTGATGGTTCCGTGGGTCAGGTCACGCCATGGGCTCATACGGTTAGCACCGATACCTTACCATATTCCGTGTTGGCCGAAATCGAGCCGCTATTGGGCGAGAGTTATCCAGTACCTGCTAAACAGAAAACGGAAATCGCTGGAGATTTGGCAAATAGATTCGAATGGCGATACTTCCTGCGGAAACTTCAAGGTAACAAGAATAGAGGTAATTCGAAGTCCGTGGCTCAAGTTGGTAGAAAGCTTCGTGTCAATGGAGATGTTCTACTATCTCTCGAGTACGATAGGGAGACTAATAGCGTGGCCGTGTTCATGGAGGATATAGAGTTTCTAAATGTCACTTATGATAAAACGGCAAGACCGGTTAAATGGGGACCGAGAAATGGTATCTTCTCCGGTGTAGAACTCGAATACGATCGGTTTAGTAGATTAACTAGTTGGACTTGGGGTGACATCAGCGAAACCTATGGTTTCGATAGGGCTGGAAGATTGTACGAAATCAAATATAGCGATGGCACATCGATGGTGTATGCATTCAAGGATATGTTCAGTAGTCTTCCGCTGAAAGTAACCACGCCAAGAGGAAGCGATTATTTATTGCAGTACGATGAAGCTGGGGCATTGCAATCGTTAACTACTCCAAGAGGTCATATTCACGCCTTCTCGTTACAAACCTCTTTAGGATTCTACAAATATCAATATTACTCACCAATGAACAGGCATCCGTATGAAATTTTGTACAACGATGATGGACAGATTTTAGCGAAGGTGTATCCTCATCAAAGTGGCAAGGTTGCTTATGTTTATGATCATACTGGAAAATTGGAGACCACTCTTGCTGGTAAGTGATGTCAATTATCTAAAATAATTTGTATATTTTTTTTTTTTGTAATTTTTATATATAAAATATATAGATAGTGTAGAAAATTTATAGAATTTCATTAAATTTATTAAATATTAAATATATTTGTACAGGACTATCTTCGATACACTACACCTATCAAGAAACCACAAGTCTAGTCCACAGCATCGATATCAATGAACCAAATTTCGAAATGCGTATTGAATATAAATATCATGCAGGAATTGTCAAAGATGAGAAGATTAAATTCGGTAGTAAGAGTGGTTTGGATAACGCGCGTTACCGCTACCAATACGATGGTAACGCTCGAATATCGGGTATCGAGGTTGATATCAATGGCAAACAGCTTCCTCAATTACGGTTAAAATACAATCAAAACCTTGGAATATTAGAAGGCGTAGGAGATCTCAGAATATATAGAAATCTGTTCAACAGATCTGTAATGCAAGATAGTAGCAAACAATTCTTCACTGTCACTGATTACGACGAACATGGCCGAGTTAAGGCAGTTTTAATGAACATTCGATCGTTGGACGTGTTCCGTATGGAACTTGAATATGATAATAGAAATCGTATAAAGATGAGAAAACTCTCTATTGGAAAAGATGCCATGGAAAAGAAGGAATGGACCAAGATGGAGAAGATAACGTACAATGCTGATGGACATGTATTGGAAGTAGCAGATACGGAAAATAATTGGCAATACGCGTATGATGAAAATGGTAACGTGATAGGTGTCACGGAGCATAATGAAAAAATCGCATTGGGATATGATAGTGGGGATCGTGTTGTTCAATATGGCGACGTCGAATTTAATTCTTACGATGGACGGGGCTTCGTCGTTATTCGAGGAGAGCACAAATACAGGTTTGTTTAAAAATTATTTTTAAGCGAGCATAATTATCTTTCAATACGTTTCGTATTCAAAAGAAAGAGTAATTCGTGAAAAAAATATTATCACGAATGTGTTGAAAATTTCATTTTTACTAACATATAAATTGTCGTCATATTATTGATTAATATGACATAAAATTCATTTATTCTAACTATTTTCAAAATATGGAATAATAATATAGCTAATTATTATTATTATCTTTAAAATAATCAATAATTATTATATTTTTGTATTATTGTTTTTTTGTACAGATACAACTCACGTGGCCAGTTGATTCATGCATCAGAACACAAGAAATTCCAGATATGGTATTTCTATGATGATCGTGGTCGATTAGTAGCTTGGAATGATGATCGCGAAAATATTACGCAATTTTTCTACGCGAACCCGAAGACGCCGGATCTGATCACACATATTCACTTCCCCAAGTCCTCGAAAACATTCCGGTTCCTCTACGATTCCCGCAATTTCCTCATGACAGTAGAAACGTCTGAGCAAAGGTTCTACGTGGCAACTGATCAAAATGGCTCCCCTTTGGCGCTGTTCGACACTAATGGAAATCTGATCAAGGAAATGAGACGTACACCATTTGGAAAGATAATCAAAGATACCAATCCAGATTTCTATCTTCCTATCGATTTCCACGGTGGTCTTCTCGATCCGAATACAAAATTAGTCTACTTAAATAAAAGACTATACGATCCGACCGTTGGACAATGGATGACACCTGCGTGGGAACAAATGGCAAACGAGCTCACCACTCCAACGGATATTTTCATCTATCGTTTCCGTAACAACGATCCCATCAATTTTAAACAAAACGTCGAGTACATGACCGATTTAAGTAGCTGGTTGAAACTTTATGGTTACGATATTTCCGCGATGTTAGGTTCCGAATACATGAAACAAATGGTGTACCAACCTAGTGCTATAGTTACGTCGCCACAATTGACGCCAGACTTCGGTGTTATGTCAGGTTTACAGTGCATCGTCAATCGTGTACACGAAAAATTTTCCGATTTAGGATTCGTCCCCAAACCCTTACTCAAATTAGAACCAAAGACGAGAAATCTTCTTCCTCGCGTAGCCCATCGTCGCGCTGTATTTGGAGAAGGTATACTGGTGTCTCGTGTCGGTGGACGAGCACTCGTTAGTGTAGTAGATGGAGTGAATAGTGTCGTCCAGGATGTAGTGACATCTGTGTTCAACAATTCGTATTTCCTGCCGTTGCATTTTAGCGTCCATGACCAGGATGTGTTCTACTTTGTAAAGGACAACGCGTTGAAGATTCGTGACGATATGGAAGAACTTCGTCGTCTAGGTGGGATGTTTAACGTTTCTACTCATGAAACTACAGAACATGGCTCTGGTACTTGGAAAGAATTGAGGTTACACAATCCGGACGCCGCTGTTGTGATTAAGTACGGAGCGGATCCTGAACAAGAAAGGCATAGAATATTAAAACACGCTCACAAAAGAGCAGTGGAAAGAGCCTGGGAAATTGAGAAGCAGCTCGTAATGGCTGGTTTCCAAGGTAGAGGTGATTGGTCGAAAGAAGAAAAGGATGAACTAATTAGTCGAGGTACGGTAAGCGGTTACGAGGGCGTCGATATTCACAGTGTACACAGATATCCACAATTAGCCGATGATCCTGGTAACGTAGCGTTCACCAGAGATACAAAAAGAAAACGACGGAAGAGTGGGAACAGGCGTAATAGGATTCACAGGCATGACTCGTGATTCGAGGATGTGACGCGGGATCGTAACGCTATTTGGGACTTGATTCATGCACCTACGTGAATCGCGCCGCGAACAAACATACCGAAAGAACAATGAAGAGAGACAAGACTAACGTTCGTTCCATCGAGCCGATTATAAAAAGAAAAAAAAGGAAAGGTTCATCGAGATAGCGATATACGTGCCGTCTAACCTCTTTTCTCCCCGATCGTTCTCTCTGTTCTCTTACCGCACTCGTGATCAAGATGGTGGACAAGAATGAAAATAATAGAAATGTATTCTTTCGATCAACCGCTTGAGAATCATATGGTGATGCTGTCCGTTTTTTTTATTTTGTGTGTAGCAAATCCCGCTCGGTGTGCCATAATAGCGTTGCTTGTGATTCAATCGTGTTCATAATTTTTTTTTTGTCGACAGCACGATCGAAGATGTTTGTTCGGCGACAGTATATATATATATATGTATATACGTTTGTGGAAAAATCGTGATCCGTGAAGAAGATTGAGCTAGTCACGAGAAAAAAAAGAAAAAGAAAAAGCTTGTTATGTGGTGATTAGTTTATATTCATAATCAAAGAAAATGATACTTATTCGCAATTGACGTGTTAAGACATTGAAGTAAGTGCATGAACGTTCAAGGTGCCGTCCGTGAATAATGAAATTTGAGATAAAAAAGAAAGGACATACGAAATAAAAGGAAGAAAATAGAGGGCGAGTGCGTGAAAGAGAGAGGAGAGAAGATACTCCTGTTCTTTCAGAGTGATCGATCGATCCGGAGCTTGGTGTATTCATGCAACAGGGTCTAATGAGACGTGCACGTAGGCACGAACGGGACGCTTCGATCCCGACGTATCCGGGGCGTTTTCGTTCTTATAGAAAGGGATTATATTTATGCAGATACTATGATACTTTCGCGATATCGCCTATAAATCGTCGCGGAACATGCGAACGAACGAAACAAGATGATAAATGCAAAAGAAACAAAAAAAAGAGATACGTCGACACAAATATACAGCAAATATTTTTAACATGACGCAAGTGGTGTGCTAGTGCGAGATGTGCGATTGTAAATATAGCTACTATCGTAATGTGTAGATAATATATAATATATGTATATATATATACATATATATTTATATATATGTATATATATATATATATATATATATATGATTGAACCGGTAAACTTAAGTGAAAACTGTCGATAATGCTTTTATATATGTATACTACATGACACACGACTCGCGAAATAAACGCGCGCGTGTGTATGTACCGAACACGCGACATACACACGGAAAATATACACATATATACGAACAACACGCGAGACACCTATACTCACTATATATAGAAAAAGATATAGACAAATTGATCAAGCAGTATATTTTTTTCTTTTTTAAGAAAATTTGAAATATGATAATTTTTCTTTAAGAAGAAAAAGATAAAAATATATCGAATTGAAATTGGATTAATAGATTTATATATGCGATTCACGCAAAAAAATGCAAAAAAGATACGTATCCGTAAAACACATCCGCCTGGAAGAATCGGTAAAAAAAAATAAGTAATCACATCCGATTTTTTTAGATCGAAAAAATAAAATTGGAACTATCGATTATATTATCATTAAAAATGAGAGGGAAAACGTGTAAATAAATAGATTTGATAGATATGAAAACATTTACGTGTCATACTAAAGCTATAATAATTCGGCGTGGAATTCGTTATCGTGTATTTTATGTCTCGTGTCAGTACCTCGCGTGATCTGGTAGCAATGACAACGTGATGTAACGGGACGAGCAATAGATGAGCAAAAAAAATGTCATGACGAGATCCGTCAAAATAATGTCCAGGTGGAATAATAATAATATGATAACGATAATAATAATAATAATAATAATAACAATAATAATAATAATAATAATAATATAATATTATAATAATAATATAATAATAATAATAATAATAATATTAATGATAATGATAACGATATAAGTAATAATAATAACATAATAATGATAGTAATAATGATATGATAATACTAATACTGGTAATAGTAATAACTAATAAAAGAAATAATATTAATACGATATAATATAATATACTATTGTACGGAAATACCCCGCCTATCTTTCTACTAAAAATGAAAAATTATTTTTTGAATTGTGTCGTCAAAGATGTCCTATGTAACCGTGTGTCTGTGGGATTGTCCCGTGGAAATCAACCCTGCGCCTCATCGAGATATGAGAACCTCTTTAAGAAAAAAAAAAAAAAAAACCTCCTCTCTATTATAAGAGTATAAACTGAATTCATCGGTGTTTATCGGTATTGAGTAAATGAAATAATTAAAGAGAAAAAAAAAAATAAAAAAAGACGTATAAAAATTTAGAAGTCAAGTTCTATGGTTTTGGTACGAGACAAAATATAAAGGGAGGAGAGGAGAGAAAAAAAGAGAGTAACAAAAAATTGACATAGAAAGTAAAGCTAAGAAATGAGAGAATGAGACGATGCGATATAATACGTACGTATAAATAGAAACGTAAAATAGAGAAATAGCGAGCCAACGTGCGAGCCACGTCGCTCAACCACGTTGTGTTCCAGGTAGTTGTACGGATGAATTTAAAGCAAAAAAAATATACATAATCATAATTAACAAAGTAAACGTACACTAGACGAGTTAAACGAGGAATTTTAGTAAAACGGTATTAAGACTTGTGTGCTAGGTGAACCTTAAACAATAAATGAAAAAAAAAATTGATAAAAAAGCCGCTGTACATATCCGTTGTGTATAGCCAGTGTGTCGCAAACCCACGCAAGTATAGTAGATTCGCGTCCACGTTCTAAGAAACAATGCATTTTTCTACGAAGTAACGGAAAGTGATGGTTAAACGACGTGCGTTTTCGAATTTATAAAACGATTCTTTTGTTTATCGCTTAACGATCGATCGTCACGTCCGAAATTCAAAACATTTTCAAACCGTTTTTGTTTTTGTTTCGTTTTTCGAAATGCGGCGACAATTCCATTTCCATTCGAATTGTCTCCGTTTTCGTACGTCGTTAGATCGTTATCGCGATTTTTTTTTTCATTCTCGAATCTGATTGATGAGATAAAGCCCGGGGTAACACGAGGCATATCAGTCTGTGATCCACTGTTTTTCGATATTTCCTCGATACACAAACTTTATATATCGTAACTTTAACACGGGTTTTTACATTCATTCCTACTTTTCGAAGTCATTTAGCATTGAGCCATAAGCAACTCCGGGCTTGACTCTCACCGCACATTACGATCAACATCAGGTCTCTTTTCGCGTAGCAAAAATTCTTAATTTTTTCATTGTTTTTCATTATACATTTTGACGATCGTTTCCCTCTCGAGAATATTGTATCGATATTTAAAGAGAGACACGTATTCATAAACGACGCTTGTCTGATTTGTCCGTTAACTCGCCGTTACCTGTCATTCGCAATGTAATAGCGTTTTAGATACTCGGCATGCAATCCAAATGGTTTGTGTAAGCTCTCGAAATCGTGAGGGAGCCGACAGATACCACGAAAGGGAAAAAGACACGTTTCTATGTGTATTCGTTTATGCGCGAAATAATAGGGGAAAGAGAATAAGAGAAAGAAGAAACGGAAATATGATATGTTTAAAAAGGTCCTGCGTACTCGAGTTAACTTTACGCTTAGCGCATGGTCACCTTTGAGCGAAACAGCACCGTGAGAATTATGCTTCTAGAAATTAGCACGTTAATTTTTTAAATATTATATATTATATAACTATATTATACAATTACAAAATTTGTCCTGAACTCAAGAATTTTTTCAATTTGATTTGATTCGATTTTATCCATCTATCGTTGAATGGATCTTCCCAATTTTTACAGAGAGATCGCAAAATTCTCGCGGAAGCTTTATCCCGTGGCAAAGTGCGAAATTAATTGTTACGCTCGACACGAATCTTCGCCGTCGACGGGAAACCGTCCGCTGTGACTCGGTTGGAAGGCGAACCGCGATCGGCACGCGACTAAAAGAAAGCAATACTTCGTAACTATCGTGTATGTCTAAAAGAAAAAAGATCTAATGTGACTGATGAGAGAAAGAGAGGGAGAGATAGGAACGAGCGAGAAAGTGTGTAAGGTAAAAAAAGAGAAGCGTTCATGTGACGAATGTAGTGAGTGAGTGAGAAAGAATGAGCGAGAGCTATTATAGTAAATTAATATATAAACCGAGTTATGTTAAATGATAGCTGAAGGGAAATTCGTGCGCGTTTTTATAGTTTCTTTATTCTTCATTTACAGCGAACGAATTCTTTCTCAAAGACTTCGTGTCGCCATAATAAACGGCCAAGAGAAAATATTTGTTCGTGATCGGTGTCTCGTTGTGTTTTTCTTCTTTTTTTCCACGTGACACGTAGAAACAATGATCGATTTTTACGTGTCTTCTTGTACATATGCATGTATGAAACTGCACACGTTTGATAGAACAATTCGATACGTTTTATATATATATATATATTTTTTCTTTTTTAATTTGACATTATCGATTACTGTGAAGGAATCTCGGCTAGCGTGTTTCCGTAAAATGGTAATCGAAATGACGATGCTTTTTCTATTGCTCATGACGAAATAAAAAAATCGGCGAATCAAGCGAATCGGACATACGCGACATCGATATTGACGATTTTTTTAAAATCTCCGCAAAATATTAACGCAGCGATAATTTTTTATACAAAGAGGCACATCATCCACGAAAAAAAAAACCAATCAATTTCGAATAATAGTGCCCTTTACACGTACTTTCGTATCTGAGAAAGAATTGATTTAAAAACGATATGAAAAAAAAAAAAAAAGAAGAAGACAAAACAAAAAAGAAAAAATGAATTAAAAACAAGAATGATTCCTTCCTTCGATGATTCGTAATTGGCGAGCGCGAAATATTGGATAAATACAATTAGAAGGAAGGTTCCATGGGACGCCTTTTCGAGCCGCGTTTTACGGGCGCTGATTGCAGTTCGTCCGTTTTTCTGTAATTTTTTCCGTTTTGTCCTTTCGTGAAGAATTGTACATATTAATTATTGCGATCATTATGTAAATATATCTCTTCGACAACACAAAAAAAAAAATAAGAAAACACATACACAACACGCGTAGTCTGTCCGCGCGAGGTTTATTTTAAAGACTACATCATTATATAATGATTACCATGTAATGATATTTAATTGATAAGGTAACATATATTCTATACTCTTACACGCTAAGTACTCAATAAATATATCTATAAAATTTCCCCGTGTTTGTGATTGTCTGCCCTTTAACCCATCCTGTCGATCCCATCGTATTCGTGGCGTCTGAACCCATCAATAGCCAATTCTGTCAAAACCGATTGTTTCACATCCTTTGTCATCCATATTGTTTTTTTTTTATTTCTAAAATTCGTGTTCGGGTCCGTTTATACGACACGTCCGTTAAATGTTCTTACACCTCGCCTTTCTTGTCTCTACCTGTCGTACAATTTCTTCCCATGACAATAGCGAGAGGCTTTTAGACGTAAGTGTATAAATAAATATTTATATAAATATATAGATATAAATGTATCTGAGGTGCTCTCGCTACAAGTCCGAAGGTCTGAAGAAGTACCTATGAATGCGTGTTGTGATAAAAGTTGTTTTTTTGCTAACGAATAATGATGAGAGATTAAATTAAAGACTTTTAGTAACATCACTGACAGAGTTGTCATTGTTTATTTCTCTCTCTCTTTTGTACAAATCCGTAATCTTTGATTCTTTGCGTGTCCAATAAAATTCATATCCCTCCTTTAGACTTTGTACCTGTCACAGTACACGCGCATCCTTTGCAACAATGAAGCTAAATTATCAAAAGAACACATAAATTTTTTTTAATTTACTCAGTTTTTTGTAACAAAATACAAAATACGTACGATGCACAGTTGAGGAATTATAGTATTTTTATATCAGTCTCGTCTAAGTTTCCACTCACATTCATGTTTCCATTGTCGAAACCATGCTTCACTCTGGAAAAATTAGAAAATAAAACGAAAGAAAGATTAACAAAAGTAGAAAAAATGATATTCTGCTTGATTAACCGTGTTGAAGTAGTAATGAGTCGAGGAGAGATTAGGAGATGGAATCTAATGCTTAATGATTGAAAAGTAAATTCTAATTGTTAATAGTTCCTACCGATCGACTGTTTTATAATCTTTATTGATGAGAAATAAATTTTACATGAATTTGATATATTTTTGTACATTATTTATTACGGAACAATGTTTTTTTTTTTATATTTCGGATCTTACAATTTATATATTTTCTGAAATATTTACAATGGTCGTGCAATTGCTTGCTTATTTTACAAAGATGAATTAAAAAAAAAGATTCATATAGTTTTTTATATTTTTAAGTTATGAAAATTTGATCGTCATACGATCGAATTTTTATATTTTATTTTTGTACAATATACGTACAATGTGTACATTTTTTTTATTTTACAATGGTACAATATTTTGTACATATTTTTTTTTATAAATTTCTATATTATATTCTAATAGCAATAAAACGCACCAACTTTTCATAAAATAAAAGTTCTTTTTTGTTGAGCAATATGCTATATTTGTAAGATATAATTTGATAATCTCATAAAATCTTTTCAAAAATTTATTATCATAGAAATTTTGATATTAATACATAATTACACGATTGAATAAGATTTTAAAATTAAGAAATAAACTATTCCAATATAATATCTCTTTTGATCTATATCACTATTTCTTTTCTTTCCACGTTATTTTAAAAGCAAAATTATTTTGCCAATAAAAATAAAGAATTTATAAAGATTTTAAAGAATAAAAAAAATACAACATATATAAGTATAACTTATATAAATATCATAAATAATATAATTTCAATAAATATGATTTTTTGTCTCTTTTTTTGAAATATTGTATTTAATATTTTCTAATCTACTTTTTCCCTCTGGATTTTTTATTTATTAAATAAAATAAAAGTTTTTTCTTGACAAGCTTATTTAATTATTTCTATTAAAGCAACTTGCTTACGAAATATTTTAATATATTTTAATATGTAAATTTAAAATTTACGAAATAGTATTATTTCATAATTGATAAAAGATTTTATAAACGATATATAGAATACATTAGTGTACATTTTCAGAAAAAGTCACTGACAATAAATATATTATATAGAACGCAATTAAATTACGTAAGGTGAAAACTTAAATTGACTAGTTGAAATGAGGAAGTGGAATGACAAAAGAAATAGTATAATAAGCTCCTATCAGTTCTCATATCAGTTTAAAAATTCCTACACATATAATACAATCAAATATTTTAGTACGGATTATCCGAATTGAACTTTTAAAACAATTTACATATCATATCTAATTTTTTAAATCATATATTTCAATTTATATTAATACATATAAATTCAAATTAGAATTTTTTTTTATTATCAGTATTTATTTTTATTATATAAAATGAAAAATTATTTGTTATGTTTGCACTATATTAAATTTTTATTAATTCGGATAATCACAATTTATATGCATATATGCATTTTAAAATGGATATTTAAATTAAAATACATTATTTAGTAAATGTCATACAGTCATAAAAAATGAGTCATTCAGATATAATTAATTAAAGTAGAGACTATTAAATTGTTATATATATAGTAAAAAAAAATTGTGTGGAAGAATTATTATTAAGTGTTACATAAATTATGTAAATCTTTCAATACAGAAAAAATGGCATTTTATATCTTATTATATCTTTACATCATCTATGATGGCAAATATTCTAATCATATAAAACAAGTTATTTATAATGCTGCAATCTGAATGCAATATTAATATCGAAATAGGATTAAAATTTTAATCACAACTTGGATTGGAATCATATACTTCTAATAGAATTCGTTGTTACAAATAACAAATATAATAACGGCTATGTGTAGAAAAATACAAACAGATATTTGTTTACATGAATAAATCATTAATTTTATAGAAACACAATGGTGTCTTAAGTGCAATTTAATTAACCTATTGCAATATTACTTACTCGAGGCCTAGGCCCCAATTGATACCTTGAACGAGAAACAAAATTAATGGTTGCCAAGCAACTAACCATCTAATCCAGTCTAGTAGTTGACCATATAAAACATGAGGTCGTTCCCATCTTTATATATTATTAAGGAATATATAAATATATAAATAAAAATTTACAATTATAATTTTTTTTATAAAAGATATGATTTAATAAAGGATACGGATTGTAAAACATTTTCTTTAAATCGACTTTTTCTTTGCAATATGGACACGTTTGTTTTTTTCCTACAATGCACCATCCTCTGATACAAAATTCATGAAATACATGTTCACAACTAAGTTTGTATGTGTTTTCAATAACACCAGGTTCATTTTCTGATACCAAGAGTCTATTACCACATACTGCACACACTCCAGGCTCTAAAGTCCTTGTTGGCATATGACCTGGTACATAGTACTGCAAATTATTTAATATATTGCATTTTTTATTTTGTACATAAGATAAATCATTATTTAATTACTTTATACATACCCCAATATGTGAAGCCATTTTATCTGCACATATTTCTGCAACATCTCTTCCTAATACTCCAAAGTATAAACCATAAAATAATAAAAGCAAACCACAATCCATCCATATTTGTGGTTTAACTTCAAATACTAAATGTAAACCAAAAAATGTGGCTAACATTATAATGTAACTTATTATACCCAATACATAACTTAATTTATATATAAAAAGAAACCATTTATACACCAATCTAAAATAATAGAAATTTAGTAAAATATTAAATTCATACATATTTTTAATTTATTAAGTTGCATAAAAAACATATTCAATAAATAAAAGTAGATTGTAAAAGTACCTTGGTGTTGTACCTGCTATAGGTTTTTGAACAGCTTTTCTAACTATTAATCCTGTTATACAAGATGTTACTAACCAAAAAAATATAAACCTCCACCAATGATTTTTTAAACTTAATCCAAATGGAATAATCCACATAGCAATTAAGGTAACAAGCTAAGAAAACATTTAATCTTTCAGATAAACTAAAATTTAATTAATAATAATTAGTTAATAAACATTAATTTGTAATTTACCTGATATGATTTATAATGTATTTTCTTCCATTCAACTAATACAATTTGTGCTACTAATAATGTTCCTAGTAAAATAAGAAGCATTTCTGCATGCATAGATTCATGTCCCTGATGTTGTTCGTGCATTTTTATGTGTTGCACTCTGGAATATTAAAATATTTCTTTTGTAACTAAACTGTTATAACAATAGATATTTTTTTAAATTGATATTTACCTCCATTTTTCTTCTACAGTCATCTCATCTTCACTCTATAATAAAATATATATTTATTTAAAAAAATATTATAATAAATACAATTCATTGTTTCACAATAAATAATAATAACAATAATAATAATAATAATAATAATAATAATAATAATACTAATAATAATAATAAATTCGAAAAATGTTATAATAAATACAATTCATTGTTTCACAATAAGTAATAATAATAATAATAGTAAATTTGAATGAGTGATAGTAATTATAAAAAAAAAAGCATAATATTTACTCAGGTATATAAATTCATATTCTTATATTAAAATAAATAAGTCCTTGGAGGTTATATTAGCGTAAGCATGGCTTACGTGTACATTACTATTTTACATAATATCAATATATATTTTTTTTAATAATATTATACCTTATTTGGGAGTACGTGTGAATGCATATTTAATAGTTTATTAAACTATCACTTATAAAATAGATTTTAATAAATTGACATAATATAGCAAAGATTCTTTGGAGACATTGTAAAGTACTATTCACAATGGTGCAAGTCTGATATATTCACAATTAATAATAATAAATTTTGTTTAATCTTAATAAAAATAAAATATTCATATAAAAAATAATAAGCAAGATTGTATTTTTATAAAATATATCATTATCAAATTATTAAATAAAACAAAAAGTCTAAAAAGTAATTTAATTTCAAAAACTAAGAGTATATATATTTTTTTTTAATTTTTCGCGCTGAAAATCATTTTCTCAGCCATATTGATGACGTTACAAATATTGAACTGACTATTGAAAAACTGTTATTCAACTTGTGAAAATTATATTTGATAAATATAATAATATAAAACTTGCAAGAATATCAAAATAAGTAAATAATTTGTTAAAATTAATTAATTAAATTATAAAAATCTTTATAATAAAATAATAAATATTAATAATATTTACATTTTAAAGATATTCTTAAATCTAATATGATATATCATTTTATATAGAATATAAATTCATGTAAAGCCAAATTCGTTTAATAATATTTGATAACTTGTAAATTATATTATTTTATATAAATTAATCACATCGCATAACAAATATTTAATTTAAATTGTACGCGCAATTCTGATTCGTCACAAATTTCTCGAACGAATGTGAATCGGCCTATCCATCTACCAATACCCAATGTTCGTACGAATTCGTAATAGTTCGAATGATTTCGGAGTTAAACCACGCCCATTGCTGCTGGTCAGAGAGGGAAGCTGGTAATTCACTCTACGAAGCAGCAATATGAGCGTTTATACCGTTTCTTGAGAAAACGCGCGACGTGACGAAATTCCACAGTCGTAAAATCGCGCGTCGAAAGTGTCATCCGATCGCGCGCCGTTTGCGGATTGAGTGAGTGATATAGTGTCGTGATTGGTTTCGTTTCGTACACCGGAATACGATTTTTGGTTAGTTTCCAAGCTTCGAAAGGATATCGCCGCTCGTCGGTTCATTTGCCTCGAGGAATTGCTTTCAGTGAGTAAGAATATAGCATATAGAAACAGCGTATGTTTCGCGAAGGTTTTTTATGCTTGTCAAATTATTGCACATATTGCCAACAGATTGTACGAGGATTATCGTCAATAAACTCACATGTCGCATCTTGTATGAAAGGTTACATATAGAAGTGTATTCAGACAATTTCGCGTAATCTGACAAAAACGAATTTTAGTACCAATGTAAATTTAAAAAAATTATTTAGTAAACAAACATGTTTTGTACATTTAATATCTTATCAAATATTGCTATTTCGAATTATATTTTTTTTTGTCATCCATCGTTTCTATTATTTTAAACGATAACTTTCAAATAGAATTAAATTAAATAATATGAATTAAATTTTAGATATTTTAAGCTTTTAAGTAATATTTTGCTGTAAAATATATATTAATTGACAGTTCTTTTCGAATAAATTTTTCGTGAATAAAACATTAACCTCTGAAAGAAACTACTATTCTTCTCTCTTGTAATCTAATCATACAAGTTATCTAGTAGGAAATTCTTTTTTAGTTCATCTTCTTTAACAGGTAGTTTTGATATGTCGGAAAAGTGTTGTCAATACGTAATACTTTGGCAAAGAAATAGAGATGAATTAGGTCGATAGTTTTACTTTTGGTTTCTACCTGATTGCTAGATCAAATAACGAATTATAAATCACATTTATTTGTTTCTACGTTTCTAGAATTTTTCTCTAGAAAACGTATATGTTATCTTGTCTATCTTATTATTTGTCATAATTTAAATGTCAACTTAAATCAACAATCGGTATCTTAAAATGACGTATTCTGATTTAATTAATATAGGTTATAATTCATATTATATACTAGTATGCGACTAGTATAATATTAAACAAAAATAATAATTATTTGAAAAAATATATAAAGATTAATTTGATAATTATTTAATTAGTAGTCAAATAGGAAAAAAATAATATTAATTGAAGTCAAATTTAATTTAATTCATATCCTCAAAAAATGTTGAATGTAAGTTACGTTCTATTTTATATTGAATCAGTCAAAGAACTCGAAAGGAGCAAAATCCTCATAGCTAGACTGTTTGGATGTTGTATAAATTGGCGGCTATCCAAGTTTCCGTACTCTCACCACGTTCTCGTCTTTAGGGTTCGCGCTATCACATTCCTTGTTCAGTATACGTACTGTACTGTTTTTCCGCATGATTTTGTGTAAACTACTTTTACCGACTGATACATAATATTTGAACGTTACTTGTAAACAGATAATGACCTCAGTAACGGTTTTTTTAAAAATAGAATTGTAAATAAAAATAGAAATATAAACACCGGAGAATTTAAATTCTTAAATTTTTACAAAATAATGTTTCCTTGAATATTTAAAATGCATTTAGATTAAAATAAATTATTTATAAAACATTATACAAGCAAATATTCATTTCGTTTTGTTTTTACGTTAACATGATCACAACGTTATATTATTTCTTCATTAATTTTGAATTAAATTGAATTAATTTATATAGCATGATACAATTCTAAATTGTTTTTATTAAGATCATAATTATCATTCGATTTCGAAATTATTACGATATTAAATAAAATATTAAAAAAATAAAAAATTATATTAAATAATTCTTTAAATATCGATTATATTATTATTTTATATATTATTTGAATAAATTGATAAATTATAATTAATATTCTTATGAATTTTTTTCTTCGTAATTATTAATCAAGAAAAATTGAAAAAACTAAAATATAATTTTTCAAAATAGATAAATTTTCAAACGAATCATTTCAAATTAACTACATTTTTTTTTTTTCATTAAATTCTTTTAATGATACAAGATCAAACTATTCATCGATTAGAAATTTGAAAGCAATATCGTGAGCATGAAAGTGAATATCATGTGCGGGATATGTAAGTACATCGAAACGGTCATTGCGGTTTGCTTGTGGTAATAGAATCCTGGAAATGAGTTAGAGACACGTAGATATATTGTTATGAATCACGGTACTATGTTTACTATATGAAAAGATACATATTAACCATTGACGAAACCATGATCATTTGGTATTATTTCAAACAACTATGTATGTATTTTCAAAATATTAATTGTCATCAAACTATTTGATGATTTAATTTAAATAATTATAGTTATTTTTCAATTATTTTTTAATATAAGTGCATTAAGAGATAAAATTTTACGTAACGTAATTATTATCTTTAAAAACAAATTTTTTTTTTAATATAATGTAATAATATTCTATAATATATAATAATTATATATTATTATATTATTATATTATTTATATTATAATCTTTTTGATATAATTAATGCTTTTTTATTACATATTGATGTATCCTTCCCGAATTTCTTCCATCTCATTTATCATTTCTCGCATAAATCCACCTTAGAAAGCCCACCTGTTGAAATCGATCTCTCATTCCATAGCTACGTATAAACCCATAAAAAGTGAAAATCTAACATAAAGAACTTATTGACTTCTTGCATGCTCTTTTAAACATAAATTTAATTTTATCGATCTAATTAGCTCTACTTTGATATTTTCTTTGCTTTCGATAAGCTTTCTTTTACTTTCTTTAGATATTTTTAATCTTATATAATATGTCCCTAAAATGCAATATAAATAAAAATATTTATAAAAATGTACGATTAATGAAGCGATTGAAACAAATCTATACGAGTTACAAAAAGTAAAAAGTTATGAAAAAAATCACAAGTTGAAGATCAGATAAAATATTATTTATGATATAAATATGCATTGTCATTTCACAATGTGAGAAAACAAGAAAGAATTATTGTATTCAGATTATATTCATACATATTGATTCATTTGACATTTTTACCATAGATAATATATACATTAAATTGTATAAAAAATTATTAACATTCGAATAGTCGCCATTTTTGATCTATATTAAATTAATATTTAGACATTATGAAATAAAATGAATATTGTATCATACCTTATATCGTATGATATTTGAAATATCAACAATTTATTTACAATTTAAAATTTATAAATTACAATTGATAAATTAACAGCTAACTGTTATAAATTATTTTTAAATATTTAATTTTATTTATTCCTTTATATTTTTTTATAATAATTTAGGATTTTCGAATTACGTCATACAATGCGATTTTTCGAGTTACGCCATTAATGAAATTTAAGATATTAAAGTTGCCAATCGATCGCTGTTTCGCGTGACGATAATTTTTAGACACTCTGTACATACTCGAATCACGTAACACGTATTAACTATCCGAAAGGACGTTACGTGAGTAATGTTGAGCGCGACCGCGAATGGAACGTCTGATGGTATGCGGAGTTATTCTAGCGTTAACGTTACCACTAATTCCCCTAGGATTCCACTTTTTTCGATCGATCGAAATGATTCGCCTAGGGGAGAAAGATCACGAATCACGAGCCGCGCTCAACAATTAAACGTACCAACAAAATCTCATTTCTCTTTCTCACAGATACGTTCTCCTTCATAAGCGGGAGAAAGATCGTTGTCAATGTTGGAAAGTGAAAAGCAGATTCGCTGTTACGATCGAATTTTACTTTGCCAGGGCCTCGATCACACGCCATGACGCATACAATCGTGATGACTATCGTGACGTGATTATTTAGCGACAGAAAAATTTTTCACATTTTTTTTCGCGTGAAAATATCTAATATATATATATCTAGTAATATATCCCTAGGAATTTTAGTATTTTTTCTTTAGAGAGTTTATATTATTACATACATATTATATTCACATATTTTATTTTGATAAATTAATCTTAGTTAAGTGTGCAAGATTTATTATCAAGTATAATAAAATATTTTTAAATTATTGATTTTGACTTCCGTTTTTAATATTAATATAAGATAATAATATTCGATATAAAATATTTACGAGGTAAATTCGTGACACTAGTATATTACACAAAAGCGTGCAATGAAGTAATAATTCAAAGAATGCGGAACATTTGTGCGATTAGCACCTATGAAGTCATTAAATGCCAACCACCAATCGCTATCGCGATTGGCTACTTTCCATTCAAAACTTATTCGAATTATTTGACATATAATATTTTGTTTATCGAATAAAATGTAAAATATAATTACTTTCGTTTTCGATCGTGATTTATTTGTATTTTTTTTTTTTATCGATGACTATGTGAAAAATGTTTGTCATTGCGTAATGATACCAATACAGATTTATTCCACGTACATTTCCTTTTTTTCTTTATATGGCGTGATGCATGTATCGTGTACTGCTTACATGCAAAAAATTAATTTTTCCGTTTTTAGAAAGATACGAAGAAAAAAATGATAATCAAGAAAAGAAGTAAAAAAAACTTCTATTCCGATCTGTAAAGAAAATTGGCACGAGAAAGTTTAAACCAGTAATGTTAATTCTAACGAATTCTATATTTCTATTTTGATAAAACTGGTATTTTCTGGATCACTTGGTAACTTTTAATTCCTGCATAGACTTTACCTGTAACCAGTGTACATATAGTTACTGTTCTCATCAATACAGTGGTTTTCCACTGTTTCCAATTCCAAGTACTTTCCCAGTTTCTCATTTTAAGGATCACTGATTTCTCGGATGGGTAGCCATATACATAAATATATGTATATAAATATATGTATATATGTATGGTCATAGAATATTAAATATGTATTCCTTGTTTTTATACGTGTGAATTTGAATGGATATTTAAATATTCTGTCAAAGCAAGTAAACAAGTTGATAATATATTGAATATATATATATATATATATATATATTCATGAGCAAATTTTGTCTTTGAATGGAAAATTCGAATCTGTTAAAATCAATTCGAGCAATGATTAATAATGAATATGGATATAGAAACGAAAATAATACCGAGAAGAAAATTAAGAACTAGGTCGGTATTTTTCCCCCTGTAATTTTTATCTAATCCTCGAAATCAATTATTCAAGAACATATATTTTT